AGAAAGCAGAGGAAGCGCACAGCATCCACAGCAGCACTGCCTGTGCAAGGGGGCTGACCCTGTACCCCCCGTTAACAACACAGGAAGCCACTGCCTGAGTCCTTGCAAAGACACACGCGCTGCTTGAGCCAAGGGGAGCAGCGGGACGGGGCCACGTGGCAGAGAGCAGGCTTGGCGCTGAGCCTGCCCTGGGGTACCACGCGGCCAGAGGAAGCAGATGGGGATGGCTGGGGGTTCACATCGGTTTCACTGAGCTTTCACATCTGCTTCTTCCCCGTGTTCCACGCTGCGCCTGGCCCCAGCCTCCGCTCCCTGGCAGGAGCAGCAGAGAGGCTCCTGCAGGATAAACACTGCCAGTGAGTGTCCGTAAGTGTTAAACGTTTTACCCTGATACCCCGAGCGCGACCTCTGCAGCAGCAGCAGCCTGTGCACTGGGGACGCGTGTGCTGTGCTTCCCAGGCAAAGCTGCACATAGAACCCCAGCCTGGTTTGTGTTGGAAGGGGCCTTAAAGCTCCTCCAGCTCCAACCCCTGCCGCAGGCAGGGACACCTTCCACTAGAGCAGCTTGCTCCAAGCCCCATCCAAATCCTCAGAGCCACATGGATCCAGATGCAGACTGCATTCACAGCTTGATTTGTTCCTTGTGGAGAATGCAGGAGGGGGACAGGACTCTCTCACTCACGTGCTTCCCGGGATGCACCACCCAGCACAGGTCAATGTGGCTCTGGCCCCTCGGGTGCTGGTTTACAGCAGGATGCCCTGAATCCCTGGTGTCCGGAGGCAGGAGCTGGGATCCCACGCCCTTCAGGGAGCGGTGATGTCCATCCCACTGGTGCCACATTTCCATCATGCCAATCACAAACTTTTTGCATGCACTCACTGAAAGCAGCCCTCCTGCAGCTGGCTTCCCAAGCACTCCATACACTGTTACATGAGTTCCTCATTCCCACTGTAGTGGAACACAAGGGCCACCCAGCCTGGATCCATCAGAGTGTGGTGTCAGAGAGCTCTGGTCCCATACAGTGGACCTTCCATGCTGAAGAAGTCAATTTTTGAAGGCGTTTATGTCTGCATTAGCTTAGAGTGGGGCAGAGGCAGCCTGGGCGGGAGAGGGATGCCCCTTCCACCTCCAGCAGGCAGGAAACTCTTCCAAAGCATTTCTTTGACGAGATGTTTGTGTCGAGGCACTAGTGCTGCCAAGACTGAGGTTATCCTGCATGACATTGTTTATTCAAATCATTGGCTGCAATCATTTTACAAGTTACTAAAAGCAGCAAAGGAAACAAGCACGGCAGCGGCTTTGCAAACACACTGCTCCCGCTGCGGTTAAAGGCAGCGGGCACTGAGGAGGAGGGAGCACTGCAGCATCCTGGCCCTGCTGAAGGCAGCAGGACTTGCCCAGAGCTCTCTTCCCCAGCACAGCTCCAAGCCATGGCCCCCGGGACAGCCAAACCTCGTGGCTTGCCCACAGTGGGCATAGAGCCTAAATCCTGCTCGCGCTGCTGTGGCCAAAGCGCAGCCAAGGAGAGAGCTGCTCGGCCAGGTCACACCAGGAGCCACGCACAGCGCTCGTTAGAAGCAGTTCATCACCACAGGTAATTCGCTGCTGCTCATTTCTCCCAGAGCAGTTGCTGGGAGAAGCAGCAGAAGTCTGATACCTAAAGTTTAATAGAGGTTCATTACCTAAAAGGGGCTGCAGGAAACCCGGAGAGGGGCTTGGGACAAGGGATGGAGGGACAGGCCAAGGGGAATGGCTTGAACCTGCCAGAGGGGAGACTGAGATGAGCTCTTAGGCAGAAGCTCTTCCCTGTGAGGGTGCTGAGGCGCTGGCACAGGGTGCCCAGAGAAGCTGTGGCTGCCCCATCCCTGGCAGTGTTCAAGGGCAGGTTGGACACAGGGGCTTGGAGCAAGCTGCTCCAGTGGAAGGGGTCCCTGCCCGTGGCAGGGGTTGGAGCTGGAGGAGCTTTGAGGTCCCTTCCAACACGAACTTTTCTGGGATTGTATCAAGTCATGACACTGATGCCCGCAGCTGGTGGGAAAGAGCTCCCTCCTGTGTAACTTCTGCTTTATTATTAACATATCTATATATTAATATATCTAATCTATCTGGCATTGATATTGATATATATTAATATGTACAGTATATCTGGCATTTAAAGTATGTGGAAGCAATTTACTTTAGGTAAAAGTAAATTGTAAAAAGAAAAGGTAACAAAATGCTTTATTTTTCAGAAGAGCTAGGGTTCTGCAGCCACTTCTAGAGAGCTATGAACTACCCAGGGGTCTCTGTGCAGAGATCCTTTAAAAACCTTCCTTCCTTCGCTCTTTTCAGCTATACTTGCTGCAAGCATCAGTTTTAAATGTGGTTTTGTCAGGAATTTCTCTTACATAATACAACAGCTGAGATCCACACAAAAGGGAGTTCACCAGCTGGATAAACCTTTAAGGAAGTCAGAAAATTCCTGACACTTGGGCATTCCAACTTATTTAATCCTTCTTTTAATCAGCAGAGCCATTGAGTGATTCTGCTCCCTCTCATCTGCCCACCAGACAGCTTAAAGAAAGCAAACCTTGGTCCTTTAGCTCATTAGAGCAGCAAGACCTTCCCAAAGGAGATGTTTGCACTGCTTGCATCAGACCTCGATCCTGTGAAGAGAAAACAGCTCCTTGAAACCCACAGCACTAGGCAAGGCTCTTGACATCAGCTACAAACAATTTGTGCAGCGGGTGCGCTGTGAGTCCCAGCTGTCAGATAAATCAGGAACTGAAGAAAAGGCAGAACACAGTCATGGTCATGCAATGGGTGGGATCCATTTGAACAGGAGACCTGCGGTGGCTCAGCCTTTCCACTGAAGCAGGAAGGATGAGCTACCTCACTCAAAACATAAACCCCTGCTACCCGCTGGGGTGAGACAACCAACACCCTGCATGGAGCACCAGGAGCTGAGCTGCGAAAAGACAACCCAAGACCTGAATGCTGATAAAGAGGGGACCACAGCAGGAAGGTATTCATTAAAAAAGTAGCTAGCAAGAACAACTGTGTGGTCGGTTTTCTCAAGGAGCAGGTCTTTACCTTGGCTCTGCTGCCTCCAATGAGGCAGTGATGCCAGCTACTTCTGACTGCAGCGATGGTGCTCAGGATAATGGAGCTGGAGAGGCACAGGACCACTGGGCATTGCAACACACACAGGATGTACCTGGGATCATCACCTCATAGAATCTGAGACCGGTTTCTATTGGAAGGGACCTTAAAGCTCCTCCAGCCCCAACCCCTGCCACAGGCAGGGACCCCTTCCACTAGAGCAGCTTGCTCCAAGCCCCTGTGTCCAACCTGGCCTTGAACACTGCCAGCGATGGGGCAGCCACAGCTTCTCTGGGCACCCTGTGCCAGTGCCTCAGCACCCTGAGAGTGCTCTGCCTAAGAGCTCAGCTCAGTCTCCCCTCTGGCAGGTTAAAGCCATTCCCCTTGGCCTGTCCCTCCATCCCTTGTCCCAAGCCCCTCTCCAGCTTTCCTGCAGCCCCTTCAGGCACTGGAGCTGCTCTCAGGTCTCCCCTTCAGGAGCCTTCTCTTCTCCAGGCTGCCCCAGCCCAGCTCTCTCAGCCTGGCTCCAGAGCAGAGCTGCTCCAGCCCTCGCAGCATCCCCATGGCCTCCTCTGGCCTCGCTCCAGCAGCTCCACGTCCCTCTTGTGCTGCTGCCCCAGAGCTGGATCAGGACTGCAGGGGGGGGTCTCCCCAGAGCACAGCAGAGGGGCAGGATCCCTTCCCTGAGCTGCTGCTCACGCTCTGGGATCAGCCCAGGATAAGAAGCAGCCATAGAAATGGCAGCATGGAACAGCCCCCAAAGTGATGTCCTCGAAGGAGCAGCCCCAGCTGAGCTCAGAACACAAAACAAAGCCTCTCACCAAGCCCTTCAGCACAGCCCCAGATGTGAGCAGCTGCATGGGGGGAGCAGCGCACGTTTCCACCTTCCACTGGGGCTCCCAGGACAAGCCACTTGGCTGCCGTCAGGGTGAGAACCAGCTTTTGGCTCCTAAGAACACTGCAGCAAAGCCTGTCTAACCGAAGAAATGATGTTGTTTACAGCTGGAAGTTGGTGTCCATTACACAACATGGCCATCCCCGCCAAGCTTCCAGGGAGAAGCTGCTCTTTGGGGGGTGGCTGCTTGAGAAAAGTGAAGAAGAAAACAGAACTTGCTGAAGGCAACACAGATTTAAGGGCACAGGACCCTCTGATCACACTTTTCTCCTTGGTACTATGGATATGGGATCAAACCCAGGAAAGACCCTGAGGAACTGAGTTTTTAGGGACCCAAGCCCAGCTCCAGGTGCTCAGTGACAGGTCTCAACCCTGCCGGGGACAGGCAGCACCCTGAAAGGGCAGCATGCCCTTGAGGCGCTCTGCATCTCGTCCGTGTATCATCTCCTACCACTCATAGATGGCCCAGGGCTTATCCCGAGGAGGTGCTCCACCAGGACACAGCAATCCCTGGCGCATTCCTGGCTGGCAGCAGGCATGAGGCTTGACGTCCTGCAGGCATCCCAGGGTGAGAAACCCCATCACATCTGTGGGCAGAGCTGCTCTTGGTCACCTTTGCTGAAGCTCTGGCTGAAGAACAGCATGAAACTCCCCTCCCAGAGCAGAGATCCAAGAGAATCCAGGGAACAGCGACCAAGCTGGTAGCAAGAGCCTCTCCCAGGCAGATCCCGAGGGGAACCTGTTACCTGCTGCTGTGTGCAGAGGGCAGGAGGTGGGAAAAACCACAGTGAGAGCGAAGAGGTGCCCCTGCCTCTCAGTGGCGCTCCTCACAGCAGGAGCTTAATCGGCTTTTATCCGTCTAAAGACTTGATCCCGCTGCTCGGCAGCAGGAAGAACGAGGGTTCAGTTTCAGTGTGCACCAAAGCACAGTCCAACCAGCCCTGCGGTGCTCGCGGTTCGCCTGCCCGAAAGGTACCTGCTCTTTTTCTTGCCTCCTTCTCTGCTGTCCACCAGGTATTAGATGCAGTGGCTGACGGGTGCCTGGCCATGTTCTTTCCTGCTGTATTTCTACTTACTTGCGCAGCCGAGGCTGGGCTGAGTCTCAATACCTCTGCTTCGTGCCCGAGCGTGTGCCAGTGTGCACCCGGAGAGAGCATCCACTGTAACAGAACGGGGCTGCGAGCCCTCCCGGGAGAAATCGCCACCTCCAGCGTCTCCCTAAACCTCTCCAACAACCACCTGCGGGGCCTCAGCACCAGCACCTTCAGGAACCTGACCTTCCTGCACAGCCTCTGGCTGGATGGGAACAACCTGACCTTCCTGTCCCCGGGCACCTTCCATGCGCTCAGCCAGCTGCGGGAGCTGCACCTCAGCAGGAACTCGCGCCTCACCTACCTGCACGCAAACACCTTCAGGGGGCTGGTAAACCTCCTCAGCCTGGACCTGTCCCACTGCAACATCTTTGAAATCCACCCGCTGCTCTTCTCGCACCTGCCTTCCTTGGAGAGGCTGGACTTAGCCTCCAACAACATGCGGTACGTCCCACAGGCCTTTAGGAACCTCTCCAGCCTCACCCAGCTGTCCCTGGAGGGCAACCACATAGAAGCCATTGGCAGAGATTCCCTGAAGGACTTGGAGAGCCTGTACGAGCTGAACCTCAGGAAGAACCGGATATGGATCATTCAAAACGGCGCTTTCACAAAGCTCCTCAGACTGGGAATGTTAAATTTAGGACACAACTTCATCGCTGATTTGCCTAATCAGCTTTTCGACGGGTTGATCCAGCTCAAGACCATGCACCTTGAAGCCAACAGGATCACTGCTGTCGCCTGCACCTTCAGGCATTTGCTCAACTTGAGGAACTTGTACCTGAACAACAACCAGATCTCCTCCATCTCAGACTCTGCTTTCCTGTACTTAAACAAGCTGCACTTCCTCCACCTGAGCAAGAACAACCTCAGCTCCCTCCCCAGCCGCCTGCTTGCTGAGCTGCCCAAGCTCAAGTACGTCTTCTTATCCCACAACCCCTGGAAATGCGACTGCAGGATGCTGTGGTTCTGGAGATGGGCGTCCACGCGCGGTGGAGCCATCCAGGGGCTGCACTGTGCCTTCCCCAGCCCTCACAACACCACAGCACCCCATGGCCCCCGGCCCGGGGACCTGACCCACTGCACCGGGCCCCCCGAGCTGCCCAGCGAGGACAAGTGCGGGGGCGATGGTACCAGTGCAGGCACCAGAACCCCCACTGTCCACAGCGGGGTCATCCTGCTGGTGCTCGCCTGCCAGGCGTGGTGCTGTGGGAGGGGATGGGGCAGCTCTCTTTGAATTAAAGGCCACTTATTTCATCACAGAACCCCAGCCTGGGTTGGGCTGAAGGGACCTCAAAGCTCCTCCAGCTCCAACCCCTGCCACAGGCAGGGACACCTTCCACTGGAGCAGCTTGCTCCAAGCCCCTGTGTCCAACCTGGCCTTGAACACTGCCAGGGATGGGGCAGCCACAGCTTCTCTGGGCACCCTGTGCCGGTTCAAGGGAAAGGTTTTACAGAAGCCTGCCTGAAACACAGGTTGGGAACAACCTCGCTGCCTGTGCCCAGAGCAATAACAAGATCTCCTCAAGCAAAGCCCTTACAGAGCAATGGACCTGGGGTAACACAAAAAGCTGAACTGAAGCACAGCTGAGCACCGCTGAGGACAGGCTGCCGGGCCAGGGCAGTGTAAAGAAGGAGAGAAGTGTATATTTAAACGTTTTTATTTCAACTAATGCTTTGCCACCATATTACATCACTTTGAATAGCTTGGAATAGCAATATGATCTCAAAATATAGCAAAACAGCTTGCCAAAGCAAGATAATATTAAATCCTATTGATACAGCATCTTCCTTCTTTGGCGACAACACTTCCTTTTATCTGTAAAAATAGTTTTATGTTCCAGCACAGTTGCTGTTCAGTTTATTGAACCCTGCTGTTTCTAACATTTGCCTCTTCCCCTGCACAAAACCTCCCCCCCCACAGAGTATGGGTTTATATCCAACAGCATTTTAAATAAAAAACCCTAGAGTTTTCATGCAGATCTTTTGTAAAACTTACTTTCTAGGTGCACAGAACTGAACCAAGATGCAACAAAAATGCATTCACTTCCGTTCGCAGGTGTAACCGTGCCATCAGCAGCGTGATGCCATACGTGCGAGGTCCAAGGATGGTGGTGTTCTCAGAGATAACATAACTTTAAACCAAAGCCAAACCAAAGTAACAAAAGGCCCCTTTTTTATAAGCAGCAAGAGGAAAAAAACCTGCCATGCTTGATTTGTAAATTAATCAATATAGTTAGATGTATAAAAAAGCACCATGTACAGAGAATACCAGAGGAAGACCCACCTTCCCAATTACACGTCTCATTTAGCATTGCGAGCTGGCCTGCAGGTCCCAACTTGTACTGTATTGATTTGCAAAGGAAATGGTCAAACCTAGAATATGCTTGGGTTATGTAGCAGAAATTAAACTGGACTGCAGATAGGAATTAGAGGTGTTTCCATTGCTACTCAAACCAACCACCTTATAGCCCTCAGGGGTAAAACAACACCAAGTAGCTGAGAAATAATGAAGTGAAGACAGCTCCAGAGCAGTATTGCAAGACACAGGGCTGTTATGAATGCATTTCTGTGAGCTCTTGAGAAGTTAACACTTTCCTTTGGGAAAAGAGCACGGCTGTTGGTTAAAACTCCTCTCCCTGAGAATGTTGGTAAGAGTTTGTCTTGCAAAGCAAAACCAAGTCCTTTGAACTTCGACAGTTCCTAAGCCAACAGCATGTCCACGTGGCCGCAGCTGATCTGCTACTCATGCACCCAGGGTGGCAGGTTGGGTTTGTGTTGCGGTTTGGGTTTAGTTTTCGTTACATAGCTCAGCCCTTTTATACTCGCTTCATGCCCCTGCCCATCAAGCAGGCAAACACCGTCATGACCATCTTCGGTTTCACCTCCACAAGGTCTTCTGGAAGAGCATAAACCCTGGCACCGATCCTTCTTGCCATAGACACCGCGTACCTGTTCACCATGGAGAGAGGAGTGGGTCAGTGCTGTCACCAGCAAACCACACGTCAGCTCCTGCCTCATCCAACACCATTTCCCCTCTTGTCCTCTTGGTTCACATTCGCACTGCGCAGCAGTCCCCAAATCTGTTTGCTTTATAAAAGCACACAGCTCAAATCTGAGTTATAGATTTTGCTGGGTCTTCTACAGGAAAGTGTCTTTAATGCACAAACTGACCCTTGAACATCAAGTCCTCTTCACAGACAGGTAAAAACGTGCAATTAATACTTGTTAGGGCTAGCAGGGAGCCCACCGCACTGAGGGTTCCCCAGCAAGCAGTCACGTTTCCCCTTCTGCCTGCTCTCCAACAATCACCAGGTGAGACTGCTCTCTGCAAGAAACTTTGCTGCTGCTCAGCCCTGCAGAACACGCGTTCCAAAGGCAGGTTTTAATAGGCCTGCTTTACACCTGACAGCCCCTGGTGATTCCACAAGACATGGGACACCAGGCTGAGCCCTTCATCCTCCTGAGCAAACATAGGAGGAGCACATCACGGCTACGGACTGCTTGGGCGGCTCGGCTTCAGCAAGCAGAGTCCAGCCAACTGCTCCCTCCAGCGTTCCAGGCAAGGACAGCAACTGCATTTCAGCGGGCTGCCTGTCTATGAGGGTGTTAAAGGGGCTTAAAACCACAGCAGTAAGATCAAGGCCGAGGCACATAGAAGGTGCAGTGCATCAGTGCAAACCAGCTTTGGAAACGGGAAACTTACTTAGCATTGTTTTGTTTGTCATCTTCTGATAGATGACCGGTCTTTACAAGGTCGTAGTTGATACAACCAGGCTGTATAGCATCAATTAAATCCACAACGGCCAGGCTCGTGCTGATGGTCTTGTCCTGGAGAAAACAGGGGCGAGTAAAGATGAATGTAACCCTTAAAGCATGCTTCTCACCTCGATCCAGCTGCTCTGCTACATGCAACCAAACAAGCTTTAAAGAAGCCCTTCCAAAGCAGCAGTGTTAGGGATTATTCCCAGCTGGACCACACAGAGAAAACCAAACTGCTGCCACTCCTTTGGAATTAGCACAAGATCATTGCTCCAGTTTGCTGCAAGTGCTCTGAGAACACAAGGCTGTACCCGATGCTCAGCAGCTGACCAGATCCCAAGGGACAGCCCTCACCCTCCAACGCTCACCAGCTCCAGCCCTGTTCTTGCCACCATCTGATCCCAGAGCTTTCCTCCCTCCCCTCCCTCCTCTGCCGCCCCATCAGCTGCCTTGCCCCACACTGGGCAGTCCTAGTGTCTCCTCTGTTAGCTTGAAGCCAGTTTGCTCCCAGCACACAGATTTCCTGCCTTCCTAAGACACCCCCGACTGCTCCTCCAGCCAAGGGAATACTTTTTGGGCACCCCTCTCCTTTTGGATGCAAGAGGAGAACCTGCACCTTGAAGTTCTGGATGGAGGTGGACTTGCCAGCGTCTTTCAGGGTCTGGTTTACCCAGCTGACTATAATGTCATCGTTGGCTTTCTGACCATCACCCAGGTCCTCGAGGACATTCAGCGTGTACCTGAGAACCAGCAGAGAGAAGAAGATGAAGCAAGAACCTGGGCAAAGCCGCAGGATGCAGTGTGAGCTCACGGCAGCTTGGAAAGCCTTCACATAGTCTCTGCTTCTTTTAACTCCTTTAGCAAAAAAGGACTTAATTATCTTATCTGAAGTGTGCTTTCTGCTAAAGCATTTCATCTTCCCAGCCTTTCAAGTCCTTACATATGAGCTCACAAAACTGCCTGGGCTCAGGACACTTGTTAAACCATTTCACCATTGACCATCTGCTCCATTGGGGTAGCACATTACCTAAAAGTTGTGCATCAGCTTAGGAGTACTCTGACCTCTAATGCCAAATGAGGAGCTACCATGTTCATACAGGTATGTATTTGCATCACCTTCAGAACCAGGTAAGAAAAAGGATGGTCAACTTCATCTGTTATTAAGTTTCTCCTTCCCCCCATTCTAACGCAAATGGGTGCTCTCATGGCAAAATACCCTGCCCAAGCTGTGCTGCATTCACAAAGTGCCTGGGACAGGCCCTACCTTCTCATCAACTGCCACACTAAGGCCAGTGTCAGCGTTGGGTTTCCATCATTCAGATCCTGCCCTCCGATGCCAACCAGGGAGAACTTTGCCGGATGCTTTCCCAAGTCCACAGCGTAGTTACAGTTTTCCAGCTACAAAGAGTTCAAACAGAAACCTCCCTCACAAAACACGCTCACTTGACTCGAAGCCCCATATAGGAAGTTTTAGCGTCTTTGAAATTCTTACCTTCTTCATATTTGCCCCAAGCTTGGGGTACGGAGGCTTGTTAACCTTATTCCAGTCAACAGGAACTTTGATCTTCTCGTACAGCTGTAGGATTACCAGTGCGTCTTGGAGATCGCTAAAGGGAAAGCGCTGGTTAAGCCCAATGGTTCTAGATCTATGTGCTCTCTGACTTGGTCACATCAGGAATGATTACTGTTCTTTACAGGTTGCTGCTGTTTCAACAACTCTAATGAGAAAAAGGATTCAAGGCATTCTGTAGTTTTCAGGGTAGGAGGAATGCTCCGTGCTTAACGCCAGCAGCAAAGCAGGTTTCAGCACGGGCATCAGCAATGGATCTCCAGAAGAATTTTGTTACACAAAACCCAAAGGAAGCCACCTCTCTTCACTGACTACAGGGACCCAGAGGATCTTGCCTCCTAATGTCTTGGTTAAGCCCTAAAGTTAGGTGACAGGGAAATTAGTTCCAATTGCTCTAATGCAGGTTACATTCCTGGCCCAGTTGCTCAAGCAGATCTAAATGTATCGGGATGTCAGGGTACCAATTTACACAAGGTAAGGGAAGATAAGCAAACTGTCTTCAGCCCTGCCTCTATGGACTGCAGGGAGGGCACAGCGAGCATCTCCCACTCCATACAATCACCCTTTCTTAAACTCTTTCCTTGCCCTTTGGTGACCAAGACACTGGTGTGGGCACATCTCCAGTCTGATCTCATTGGGCCTCTCCCACGAGCTTACCCGTAGAGGTGATTTACATGGGGGCTCACACCGAGGGAGTTCATCCAGTTGCGGAAGGTCCGTTCCTCACGCGTCTCTCCTAAATGGGAGAAAACAGGTTCATTCAGCTTCTGCAAGCTCGAAGCTGGGCAGGGGTTTCCCCTTGCAAGGCAGGGCGCTTTGAGTGGCACAGCTCATCACTTTGGGGGTTGAGCAGAAAAGGGGTATTTTTTTCCATGATAACTTTTCCAAAGGAAGAGGCTGCCCTG